ATATGTAATATATATGTATATTATACATATATACTAATAAGAATTTTTTTTTTTATAAAACTTTCAACTATCAACATATTTTTTCTTCTGAAAATATAACTAAATCATATATTTTCAATTATATTTAGAAATAAGAATAAAAAATTTTTTCAAATATATATATGCCAAAAAAGACAATGATTCTAAGATTATGAATGAATTGAAACATAATAATTTGAAATCTTTATCACAATAATTAACTCGATAATAAAAGATAATAAAAGATATAATAAAAGATACAGAGAAAAAGAAAGATTATGATAAAAACATTATGGAAAAAATTTAACGGTTATAAAATAAAATTAAAAACATAATTTCTATTACTCTAATACTTGAAATAAAAATTATCTATCTCATAACTATATTGCTAATTATTGCAATTATTAATATATATACATACACATATATATATACAAACACATATATTATATAGACAAAATAATAAATACAAAATAAAAAGAAAATAAATACAAAATATTTATCGAGACTGATTGAAAAAATCAAATATAAATTTTTTACATTTTACTTCATTAATTTTTCATAATCATATTTTTTATAATAATAATACTTTTTAATATTATATATAGTATTTTATATTTTGCTTTGCTATTTAATATTTTCTATATTTTTATTTTTTTCTTATTATTAAATTAAATCATTTATCTAAAATAAAATTTTATTGCACAATTTTATTAATGAAATTTTTATTTTTAATGATAAATATTTCACTGGATGAATAATTATATATTGAATTGTATATTATTTTACAATTTTTACAATTGTATATTATTTTACATTTTTTTGATCTGAAACTATAAACAAAATAGTTATGATCATAAATGACTCAAGTTGTTCACAAAAACAGTGAAAAATATATTATCCAGAAATAATTAATTATTAATTAATATTCGTTAACTACTATATATAATTAAAAAGCATTCGTAATCTAATGACAAGAATAAAAATAATATGAAAAGTCAAATCAAAAAAATTTAATCAAAAATTCTTAAAAAGTATATGTAGAAATCTTACTATCTTGCACACAGTTGTACACATTAATTTCACATTGTGTTTTTTCTAATTGTTCTCTTTTTTCTTTTAAGAAAAGTTTATCAAGCCAAGTACGAGATCGTATTTCTTTTCGTCCTGGATAAAGATCGGAATATTCAGCTTCAGTATTATTACTTTTTTCAAATATTGATTTTTCTTTATTTTCTGTATTTTCAACAGTCATTATTTTTTTGATATATTATTTAAATTACTATTTTTAAGAAATAATTACAAGAAAAATAAAGAAAGTATAGGTTACGGTGCAATCTTACGTCATACAATCCCGGGTAGCACGTGTACTTACATCATATACTAATATATTATTACTATTAAAGCGATTTTACTGTTTCAAAATAATAATTATTTGAATATCAGTGTAAAAACATTTTATAATATATTTATAAAATATTAAAAAATATATATATTTATATGTTTAATTTTCTATTGATTTTATTAGTGTAAATCAAAAATTAAAATCTTTCTTAATTTTCATAAAAATATATACATATATTAATTAAACAATTAAAAATATAAAAATTATAATTATAAAAATATTATGAAAATATAATGTATTGTATTAAAACCTATTATATATAATAACTTTTAAGATTTTAAAATGAATCATAAATAAATGTAATAATTTTTTTTATTTAATTCTTTTATTTAATATTCTTAAACATACACTATTATAATGCAAAGAAAAATAAATATTTTATAAAATTTTTGTTTAATATTAGTCTTTATTACTTTTATATATTTATACTGCTTATTACTTATGATTTTAATAAATATATCTGTTAGATTGTTTCTAGGATCTATATTTTTTATTAATCCTTATTGTATCTTTAATAATAATGATATCTGAAACCTATATTAATATTGATTAATATGTAAGAATATATAATATATATATAATTCATTATTCATATATAATTTAATCATTTCAATTTTCTTTATTATTTATATATAAAATGCAATCAATTTTTTTGTTTAGTTCATAAATTTCTTAAATCATACATCGTTTGTAATCATATAATATACTTAATTTTTACAGTAAAGAAAGCTATACAAATTCATTTAGTGAGACTCAAAATACAAAGTTACAGCATAAGATAGCATAGGATTTATTGATCCAGTGATATTTTTTCTATTTTGTTTATCATTTTCCCATTTTCAAAATCTGAATATTTCTAATTTTTGTATTGTTCATTCTTTTTTATCTAAATTATCTCTTGTTTTAAATATTTCAAAAGTTGTTTAACTTTTAAACTGTTTTTATATAATTTTTAAGAAATTTAATTTTTTTTTTAATTTAATTTTAATTTAATTTTTATTACTTAAATGACTTGTAATATGCTAGATCAGTACTAACAAATATCGATTTATTATTTCTCTGAGAGATATACTTTTTTTTTTTTTCAAAATTATTAACTTGAAATTATTTAACTATTAAAAAATTTGTGTCATTATAAGTTTCCATATTAATTTTTTTTAATATATTTGATATGTGTTTTATTTATTTTTATTTTGTCTTTTTTTTTATTTCTAAAAAATTGTTTGATTCTCCTAAATCTTTAATTTTAAATTCTTTTTTCAATTCTTTTCTGATTGTCAATTTTCTTTTTTCTTTTAATTAATATATCATCAACAGAAATTAAATATTATCTTATTATCAATATAAACTAAAATTATTTTTAAATCTCTGTAATCCAATTTTCAATATAAATTATTAAATTAAATTAAATTTTGCATTTTAGCATTTTGAATTTATTTTAAGTACATACAATTATTTATTCATTTTTATTCTTCCTTTTTATATTTTATTTCTTATTTTCATATATATCTCACTGTTTACTTCGTTGTTTAAAAATGTAATTGATATATTTAATTGTTGAATTATTTTCTAATTCTTTTGTATTATTTTATTAATAGAAATTATATTAAATAGATAATCTAGTTATTAAAATTTATATCAAAATTATTTAACTATTGAAACTCTCTAATATTACTATTGCATATTTTTTTGGTTCTATTTTTTTTAATTTTAAATATTCAATATGAATTTATTATCTATGTTTTTTTCTTTTAGCAAATCTGTTGTTTATATACTCTTATACTTATATACTATATTTTTCTGAGATTTCTAATTCCTATTGTTTTATATTTTTTCAATTATTATCTCTACTTATTATTTCATTATTATTAGTTTGATATTCTCTTCCATCATCAAACAAAATTATATACAATTTATAATCATTTAAATGTTAGAATTTCTTGTCTTTTGAAAATTCATAATTGATAATCATTTTTATCATATATTACCCTAAACACTTCTTGAACTTTTTTTCTAATTTTTATTTTTGGATATGATTATTAAACTTTTAATTCACTTTTGATTCATTTAATGTATTAATACATATTTATACAGGTATTCTATTATTAATTATTGATGTTGACATACTGTTGATAAACATCCATTTAAAATTAATGCAGTATATAATATTGTTTTATTCCATAAATATTTAAGTATTCCAAAAATTTAAGAATTTTAATAATTTTTTCATCATTATTTCTATTTTAACATGTTTGATTCATTCTTATAGAGATTCAATTTTATTAGAATGGCTATGTATATTTTATAATTATTCTTTTCTTTTAATAAAATTTTAACTGCTAAAAGTTCACATCTATTATTTAATTTGCATCTAATTTTCTTTATTTTAATTTGTTTTTAAGTATTTGTTCTTTTAATATATTTAATTAGATTTTCTTATTTTCTGATTTTTAATTAATAATGTATCTTAATAAATGTATCTTAAAAAAATATGAATAATCAATAATTTTGAAATAAAAAAAATTTAGAATAAAAAAAATTATATTTTTCCATTGGTATGTATCTATTACATTAATATGAATAAGTTTTTTAGTGTTCTATATTTCTGATTTAATTTTATTTTTTATATATGATTTATAGATATTTAAAATCAATAAATTTATAAATTTTAATTTCTTCTTTTTTAAACAAATTTTTTATACAAATTTTAAATCCGATGTTCTATATATTCATATTATAATATATAATTAATATTATATTTTATATAATTAATTATATAAATAATATATAATTAATATTAATTAATATATAATTAATATTCATATTAATGCTTCTTATTATGTATATAGTTTGTTTTTTTCATTGTATTCCTATGTTTGATTTCTTTTTATTTTTACATCTTATTTCATTTTATTTGTTGAATGCTATTTTATTTATATATATATATATATATATATTTTCTAAATATATCTTATAAATATTATATTATGGAATAATTTAAATTGTAAAATGTTATATTTAATGTCTTTATATTTATCTTTTATATACTCATTGTAAATTACAATGCTTTTGCTTATAATATTTTGTTATTTTAATATTAATTTCGTTTTTCAGTTTTATATTTTTCATTTATTTTATTAAATTCTGAATCCATTAATTTTATTTAATTCTAGCTTATTAAATTTTATTACATTATTATATATTATTTGTTTTTTTTTTCACTGCAACGAATGTATATTCCATACAAATACAAATATATACAAATATATAAATATATAAATAAACAAAATATAAAAATATATAAGTACAAATATATATAAATATGACTGCAAATGATTTCAATGTTTTTGTTCATATTGTCTATTATTCTTTCGATAATTTATATGTCTTATTTTATAATCTTATGCTTTATAGCTCTTTTTATGACATTTATAATGTTTGTTTTATTTGATTTATTTTAAAATATTGAAAATTATTTTATATATATATTATTTTTTTCTTCTTATTTAATTTTCATGTCTATAAGATATAATTTTGTGAAATCTAATGATTTCACATTCATTGTTTCATTTATCACATTTTCAGTTATCACATTTTCATTATATTGTGACATAGTTAGCAATAAATGATATATTTGTCTCATTTTTACGCTGATAATCTATTTTGTTTATGATTAAAAATTATTTATAATTAAAGTAACAAATTTTAAAAAATAATATGTTTTATCAATATTATTAAATTTTAATGTTAATAAATCTCATCTTAAGTCTAATTTATTAAATATACTTTTTCTATTATATATATATACTATTATATATATATATACTATAATATATTCTGTTTTAAATATATTTTTCAAGCATTTAATCACTTCTTTTCCTATCTATTCTTTTTTTAGATATTTTAAGTATTTATCACACAGATATAATATTGTACTACATAATACAAATATGTACTTGTACTATATATTTTTGCTTAGCATTTTATAATGTATTACTCTTTTGTTATTCTGTTCAAAAATTTCTAATATACTTTCTTTCTTCAACAGAACAAATTTCTAATTATAAAAATTATTATTATTATATAAATTATATTAAATTATTTTCCTCTAGATCGATTTGCCTATCAAAATAGTATTTTCGTATTTACTTTGACATCATATTTTTTATTTTTATTTTTTTATTTTTAATTCTTTTTTTTTACTTTCTATTATTCGTTTTTTATATCTTTAGTTTATTCAGAGCTACTCTGAGCTCATGATTTTTTAAAATTTTAAATAAATGGAACATATTGAAATTTCTTTTATTTAATTTTTTTATTTGCTCTTATATATATCAATCGCTATATTGAACTTGTCGCGTACATTATCTATATTATATATATTATTCCTTACAATTTTATTTTAACAATAACTAATTTCATTTTTATTAATTTAGTTTCTTAATATAATATCAATTTTATGATTGCACACTATGAAATATTGCATGTTTTTAATTTTTTGATTTTGCAAAACTGATATATTTTTAAGAACATCTCGACATCATCTGTTTCCAATATTCCAAAACGTAATTTATCATTTATTATGTCTGCTAAATAATAAAATTTACTGAATTATTCATGTGCATTAAAATTTTTTCTTATTTATTGGAGGAATCACATAACTTCGTAGACAACTTCGAAGCGCACTATTCGATTTAATCATTAATGAACTATAATGATCACTAAAATGTTTAATTGAAATAATTAAATATTAAACGTAAAAAATTTTTTAAACACTTCCGATATTCCTTTTTTGCTAATTAATCTATGTAGTTTATATTAATTATAATTTCGAAAATAATTTTTTAATGTTTAATCGTTTTAAGTAATTGATTTGCATGGATAAAGTTTTATAAATTTGATAAAATCATTAATAATTAAAAATATATATCTATAAATATATATCCTTCGAGAGAACCAAAATGATCA